CGGGCGCAAACGTCCTAATCACCGAGCTGTATGCAGTCAACGCATGGATCGAAGTCCGTAGACGTGACCCTTTAAAACTCACTGGAGTGATTGACGGGGACTATCTTCATATATATTTTTGAATTAATTGTTAAGGAGAATTTTAACAAACTGTTGGGACAGAAACCTTTGTCCGATGATAAGATCTGATATGTTTTCTTTCTAAAAAGGGCCCGTTTATGCTATGTACTGATTCAATTCGTAGCTATGTTTATTCAAACATTTACCTAAGGACGGGCATCCCAGAAAAAAATGTAGGGTTTATCTTCAGGGGCCGTGTTGTTTTTTACACTCCTTTAGTGTCTAGGAGTCGTTAAAAGCAGTTTCTAGCAGTTTCCGAGTGATTTTGAGGGGGTCTTCGTTTTCTACACACCGGGGAGGGATGAAAATCTTGAGGAGCCGTGTTGTTTTTTACACTCCTTTGATGTCTAGGAGTCGTTAAAAGCAATTTCCAGCTGTTTCCGAGTGATTTTGAGGGGATCTTTGTTTTCTACACACAGGGGGGGATGTATAGAAAACGAAGACCCTGGTCGAAATTCTTTATAATTGAAAATCTTCAGGAGCCGTGTTGTTTTTTACGCTCCTTTGATGTCGAGATACCCGTCTCTAGATGTTTATGAGAGAATTTGAGGGGGGTCTTCGTTTTTGGGTCTTAGCCTTAAGTATTCGTTTTCTACTCACCCTCGCTTCCTCTTCGCTTGGATGGGTTTGTCGATCTCCCTCGAAACTGAAAGTTTGTAGTTTGTTGTGAATTAGCTCAATACTTGTCGAAAGAAACAATCCCAAGGAAAATCCAAAAGCTACACAAATTTCAGCTGTGTATCTACAACCAAAACCCACCAGTATATCGTGCGAGTTAGTAACCAGTGATAATCGACCATAATCATGAAACGAGGTTCATTAATCACGTGAATCTCTCAGACTGTCGAGATCAGAGAGATCTGCATATCTAAAGAGTACCTTTCCAAAGAAATTGCGTTGGTGCGTCGATGGAAGGTATTATACAAAATAATTTGGCGTTATCAACTGAGATAATAATGTAAACTAGCCAAGAGAGTTTCTATAGCTAACGTTCCAAGCGTTAGCCCGGCTTTTGTCAGAGCGATTAGTATTACCAACTCAGTTGATAAAACCGCAAGCAATCACTAATTTGCATTGCTATTGGTTTTAAAATAACAAAATAACTTTATCTCAATCAGTGGACACAAAAAAATTTCTTCTAAATTTCTGGAGTTGGTCATTTGCAATTTGTCCTCAAACATATTTACTTCGCGCGCATAGAGTCATTGTAATGATCCTTGTCTATGCTTTTGCGATATTCGATCACCTCTGCATACTCATTCAAAAAGGAGAAAAGAAACTTGCATAAATTATTACATCATCTCTTTTGATTTGATTATTCCATTAATCGAGGTTCTCGCTTATGTTATTCTTGCACTCTCTTTTAAGGAGAATTAAGAATCTCGTTGTCTTAAAGCTGTTTCTTCAACCTGATGATGATACATTCTTGTTGCGGCTAGTTGTCGAAGATTTTCGTGTAACATTCCTCAGAAATTTTAGCCTTGAGGGAAATTGTCATATTTTCCAAACTCACCAGGAATGCATTCCTAAATTATTTTATTGTGTCCATTTGTGAAACAAGTGTATATTTAAGTTTTGAGTCCGTGAGATTAATTTTCTCTAATATTTGGTCTCTAAAATAGCTGACTCAGCGTTAACTCCTCATTTTGTTTGAGTGTGTTCGTAAAAGTTTCGGTTACTCTTATCTCTCGCGCACTGAGCCCGCGAACTACTCATCACATGCCGCGAGAGGGAAAAATAAAATGGTGCTGTGATATTCCAGGAGTTTTGGTAAAAACGGGAAGAGTATTCCTTCTAGGTTGAAAAGGCCGTTCCAATTTATTTCTCACGAGTCCAAAACAAAAGCAGATCACGGTACCAAACAAGTGAAGAGCATCCATCGATTCCATCTTTCAGCCCCTGACTCGTCGCGGCTGACTTCAAAGCGCAGGCAAAACCGCTAGGCCAGTTACCGGTCTACTTGAGGTTACAATTTATTTTTTGTTCTATAAAAAAGTGACCGCGCAAAATTATTGTTGGGACACAAGGGGAAATTAGCAGAAGCAACCTCGTTATGCAGAAGGCACCAAGAGTCTTAGATCACAAAAACTTCTTTTGTTATGAAACACTGCCTCGCATATCAACAGGAATTCATTGATGTCATACTTAAACTACACAAGAGTACCAAGAACCTTACTCAGTTCAGAAGCTTGAAGAGATGTCAGTCGTGTTTCACAAAACAAGATGAAGAAAATCGATCAAAGGATCGTGTTCTTGTAAAGCAGAAGTCTTTGTTATCCACGAGGATCATGCAGTGTTCACGCAACAGGGGCTCAATGTACAGGCCTAACATGGCGGCTGTTAAAACTCCTCCCGCTAAAGGTAGTTCGATGTGTCCCATGGCAAACTCCTTAAACCTTTGTTGGATACTGTTTCTAAAAATCATCACTACGTTGACGTAAAAAGTACCAACAGCCGCTCCGGAGACAAACACAAGGGGCAAAACGATCCATACACTGGGTAAAAAACGGTACCAGGCCGCCAACGCCAAAAACGCAAGATCCATGACTTGAACCAGACACAGAACCCAAAGGTAAGGAAATTTAACTTTTTCTCCCCAGTCTTCTTTAATGCAGGACAGCACTGCAAGATATGACCTCCCCACCACCTCACCCACGGTGAATACAAGAATGTAATACTCATAGTGGTCACGTGGTTTGAAAGGAGAGCTGGGAAATGCCAGGGTTGTAATGACGGCTTGAATGATCAGATACTCGGAGAAAATTGTAATAAATAGTGTTAACATATGAGGCACCAGCTCGCGAATGACCATGATTTTCTCCCCCCAAGAAAGAGAGGCTTCTTCACCATTTTCTTCATCGTCTTTGTCTGACGTGACGCACAAATTTTCTTTGAAAGGAAAGAAGAAAAAGAGATTTACTTCTTTATAATAAGCCTGTTTACTTTTCAGCTACTGTTACATACATACATACATATATACATACACACACACACAAATACATACATACACACATACATACACACATACATACATACACACATACATACATACATACCTACATACATACATACATACATATATACATATATGCATACATACATACATACATAAACTTTATTTATACTCGAATTTTAGAGTAGCTAACGAGCGGGCAGTATTGTGCTCGAATACCTCAAGGCTGTGATATCAGAGCCTAAAAATTTTTGAATGAAAATCCTGTGGTACTTTACGTGATCACTGATCGATAAAAAAAAAAGTTGAGTTATCCATTGATTATCATTGAGTGCTCAGCTGAAGATTTCAAAAAATTTGCCAAGACCCGTCTCCGAGTTAATAACTACTAAAGAATCACAAAAATAGGTAATGATGCATTCTGAGTATGTACCCACCAATTTTTGGTGAGAATTGGTGAGCAATCAATTGATTCCTCGTTGATCATCATTAGATTCCTTATGGTCGTTGATTAATTATGTATGATAGAACTCGCCTTACAGCAGAAGAAAACTAATACATTTTAATGAGCTTTCAATGGCTTATTTAGAATTCATCAACCTAAAGTTATCAAATTTATTTCGAATAATAACAATATTAATAAAATCTGCAGAATCAGCACTCTAACATACCATTGGTCTCAAGAGCTGAGTACGGCACTCCAATATGATCATCCGATGGAGAACAGTTACGTTTTTCCTCTGACTTATGGATGAAATAATAACAGACCAATATCAGGAACATCATGGCGGCTGAGATAAGAGTGGTGACCTTTGGTGAAACGCAGGCCCATGTGGTCAAGGCTACAAAAAAAAGGCAAAATTAAAGAAAGCACTGTGAGGATAAATAGTACTGTCCCTAAGCTCTTTAGCGTCCCAACGCGCTTAACTTTGAAATAACTTTTAACCCTTGATAACGCGCGGGCAATACTGTCAAGATCATTTCCTAATGGCTATGGAATTGTACCAGTGAATATACCAAGGGTTTGAATTTCTAACAGGTTAACCTAAACACTACCTCTCAACACACACCTGTGTAATACAAGGGTGCAATTGCAAATCCTACTCCAGTTCCTGCTGAAAACGCAGTCAATGTCAGCTCGCCATGAAACGAGGTTAAAGACAGAATTGTTGGTTCACCAAGGCCCAATCCAACTGAAACCATACCCACTCCGATTAACTTCCAGTGAACTTGCCCTGCTAATGCAAGAACGATAACACCGGTTTCACTAAGGAAGAAGACGAGGAAGATGCGAACAACATATGGAATGCGTCGTAAGTACGGTGTAATTAAAGAAACAAGAAAAGCTGGTGCAACGTTTGCAATTAGAACAACAGAAGTTGGAAGATACGTTTCCGCTAAAATATCTTGAGCAGCTACTATGACCAAGGAAAAAAAGGCGTAAAGAATAATTCCCAGCCCGAAAAATGCCACAACTTTGCGTAGTCGCTCGTGTTCAGGCTTGTGATTATTCTTGAGATTGTAACCACCGTTATGGTCCACAGATTTCGCTTTGAAGTTGCCCATGCCAAAAGATTTATTACACTATTCAGTTGATCGTGTCGTGGTACTTTGGCAACTTTAGGCAAGTGAGCAGCGAGAAGCCAACACGTAAAGTTGATCGGAAGTCGAAAAGAACCAAATTGCCAAGACGTGTTTTCTTCCAACTTTTCAGGTGGAAGACATTTCCTCTTCGCTTGGATGGGTTTGTCGAGCTCCCTCGAAGCCCACGTAGCGAGTTTGTTAGGAATTAAAACATAAAGCTTGTTTAAGGAAAATTCTAAAGCTCCATGAAGTTCAGCAATCACTGTACCTTTTACCAAAACCTATGAAAAGACCTTTCATTTTAGTGAACGGACATCATTATCTATGTTAATCGCTTAAATTTCGTTTTTTCTCCAGCTTACCTGATCAAAACAAAATCTGCATAATAAAAGCTTAACAAATTCATTACTCTGCTATGGATTTTGAATGAGATTTTTCACTGTTGAGGAACTTTAAACAATTTTTTGAGTAGATCTTTTGTAATCCGTGTCTCCAACAGTCTTCACGTTCCACCAATCAGCAAAGTGACTAAAATGGCCAGATCCCTGGCGCTATACGGTAATGTTACGACGATACCCAGCAAACCATGCAAATTCACTCAAGAGGAGGAGGAGGAAGGAAAGTATTAGCATAATTCATTCCATTACTTCTTTTGCTCTGATCGTTCAGTTCGATATCTCTGTGTTGAAGATTTATCTCTTACCCTTTTCAAAACTCTCGTAATCTCAAGGCTAGCTCTCTAAATTTAGGTTTTTATACATCCTATTTAGAAAAATCCTTTTAGGTAACCAAATGCACTGTAAAGAATGCATAGTATGTAATGCATTGTCTCGAGTGAATTATAATGTGCCCATTATTGCAAAGGTATTGTTTGAACAGTGGCGTCGATGGGAATAATTTTCTGACGTAATTGATTTTTGAAAGTTTGTTTGGCTTTTACTTTTTACTTCGAAAGAGTAAACTTGAAAAAGCCATCGCAGAGATTTCCGTATAACCCCTAGCTACTCTAACACGAATAGATAAGGGGGGAGGGGGTTTCCAAAGAACTGTTATGCTGCACCGATGGGGGGGGGGTATTACAAAATATTTGGTTTTATAAACCGAGTTGATAATGTAAATTGGCCACCGAAGACTGTGAGACTCTAGACAGGAGCAGAGTTTCTAAAGCGGACGTTCGAACGTCAGCCCTTCATAAGAGCGTCTGACGAAGGGCTGACGCTCAACACGTCAGCTTTGAAAACTCTCTTAACAGTGGCCAATTATCTTCTTAAACAAAGCCGCAGTTTTAAAGGAATTTCTATTGTTTTCGCCACTACACTTTCTCTAACAAAGAGGTGGGCGGAAATCTTGCTAAGCCTTTGCGTCTGATTAACAAACCTTCAGTCGATTTGTTTATAGTAGTAATTGAACTGAGTGGAGTGCAATTTAGGCTGAAATCATACACGTGATTTCAAAATCGAACGAGTGCACAGCACGAGTTAGATTTGAAAACAAAAGTATGATTTCAGACCAAAATTGCACGACACGAGGTTCAATTTCGTTACATCCATTTTGAAATCGCCCAAATACAGGACTTGGTCAATTCAAATATTTCATTGATGCAGTACTAAGCCGGTTTTTGAATAAAAAGCGGAACCGGAGAGCTTTCACATCTTATTTTGTATGCAAAACAGAAAGACTGACGTCATTTGTCAGAAACTAAGTCAAGCATAAAATGATGCGATTTAGAGCAAAAAATGGTGCGATTCGTGAATAAATTGCACCAATTAGAGCCAATCAGATTACAGGGACCACCACTGATTTCAAAATGGATGTAATAAAACACGAAATCGGTCAAATTGGAAAACAACACTTAATCACCTTTCTCATGACAAGTTGACATCTCCTGGTCAACTGCGTTATAATTTGTAAAGGAAATGAAACCCTCAATTGGCAGCATATCGATATCCACTGCGCTAACTAGACGATAAGTCAGAGGTATTTTAAATAGAGAATCTCTGGTGCTACAACTATTACACGCTTTTAAGCTAAATTGTTACGAAACGATCAATATTCTTCATTCCTCAGTCCTTTGAAATACAAAATTTCTCCTCTAGGTAGTCAAGCCCCTTTCTTTTCGACTCTTTCAATTTTTTGTCTCACCCCATTCTTTACGCGTATCGTTGGATTTGAGCGCAGTAAAAACCTTTTCCCAAGGGTTCTTGTTTAACGGTTCTTTAAACGAGAGGTTTTTGACCAATCATTGCACTCGTACCATCTCAATCATTTTATTACACGAATGATGTATGATAGCGGCGAATGATATTTTGTGAAGGTAAATGACGCCTTGTGATTATGAAGGATACCAATGATGATGGGAATGCCGTCGAATGACGGTTTGTAATGCTTAGTCAGGTCAAAAAGAATGATATCTAATGAAAATACATATATCAAGTTAGTGATACTAAATGATATCCTGTCAGGGTAAATGGTTGTGGATGATGTCTTTAAATGGCGGATGATGTGTTGTGACGATAAATGGTATCATGTTAAGGTTGATAATTTTTTGTTACGGTAAGTGATGTTTAGAGATTTACAGACTATTTCATGGTTGGGGAGCACGTGACGATTTTTATTCACGAGCTGTGAAGAATCCCAAACAAACAACATGCAGGTCTTAGAGCGAATGAGTTTGCAATTCTTCACAACAAGTGAATAAAAATCGTTCAAGCGAATTAACCATGTAGTGACTTTTTCATTGTATTAGTACTGAGATATTTCAAGTGTTTGTAACTTTACTCATCATGCTCACAATCAACTGATCACCAAAGACATAGAAGTTCCGAACTCGATATCACTTTTGTTTCAGTAGACCCAATCAATGCTCTCAGGACGCCTAAAATACCGAATTCGAATATGCTTAAAAAGGTAAAACTGTGAATTTAAAATAATTCATTTCAAGAGAAAAGATTACAAAGCCCGTTCAAAGAATTTTCATTGCCAGGTGAGAGAGGTATTTCCTCCTTCTTCCTCGTCATCTGTGTTTGAGGTGTCGCACAAATTTCTTTTTAACGGAAAAGAGAAAGGAAATTCAAATGAGAGCCTTAAGTGAACCTGTCATCCTAATACGCCTATTCACCGCTTTGCCATTACTGCCTCGGGGCCGACAATATGGCCCCCAAATACCTCAAGACTTCAACATTAACATCAAGTCTTGAGGACTGCTCTTGTGTTATTGATGGGTAAAGAATTACTTTGATACACAGGTGTTTTTCATATGTGATGCCTACAACTTTGAATGATCAAAAAGTGATCGGATATTAAAAACAATTTGTGAAGCACTCAAAGTATTTACCCTCTGAGTATTGCAGTTCTAAATAAGCAATCAGCCTTTCGCTCTCCACGTGTTTATCATCAATTTATGAAATCGAGGTCATCTATTTGTGGCGTCTTATAAACATCCTAAAAAAAGAACAGATTTTGCACGCATTCGCCCGAAAAGCGCGGTTAAACTCATCTCGACTCGGAGGGTCTTAAATCACGAGTCATTGAAAGTAACTTATAAATTTTATAAGTATCACAGATTGAATTTTTTCGGGGGCACAATGTTCTCAACTATGGAAGCTATGCAGTCATCTGCTTGCTGAGAGATTCCGACCTAAAACCATTTTAGGGACCAGTCATTGGAGGGATGAGAAAAATTTGGTAGTGTCCGATCAAATTTACTTGACCATCTATAAGGTTCTGTATTAGTGGGGCAGAGTCCCATACCCATGGAATATGGTCAACCTCTTTTTGTTTAGTTGTCACGTGACTGACCGAGCGTACGTGCGTACGTACTTGCCCTCAGATTGCAAGGATAGGGTAGGGGAGACTATCAAAACGAAGGGAGGGGTGTCTCAGGCAAGTCTTGGCAAATGCACATCTTTTATGTTATCATTAACATTACGAAATTGGGAGCTGCGCTTTTAGGCTTGGCTAAACCTATATATTATTTATATGATACCCGTTTCCACATTGGCAGTTAAATGACAGTCAATTTTCTTTAGTATCTCCTTCATACACTGTTAGCAACGAATGATCCCCTTCTGCTCCCTTGAAAACTATGTGTACCTCTCTTAAATCCTCCGAAAAATTGCCTCCCCCTTCCCCGTCCTCCCG